CGCCGAAGGACCTGTGCACCAGCACAAGGCCTGGCCAGTGCCATCCAGCGCCTTTGGATGGTGAGCGGACCCTCATGGCTCGGACGGCCACGCGCCGTCCACGGGCCCAGGATAGCCCTGGCCAGGCATGGTGGCAGTAGAACTGACATGCCTTTGGGGGGAGCAAGGGTCACATTTGAATTTTTTGCCCATCAACTACATGGCAACGAAGGAATCCATTCGCGGCCTTCGACGGAGACTGGCCCCCCTGGGGCCTCGACCGCCATTTCCCCTCGGGAGTATGCGCCCCGATACGTCCACCGGCTTCCGCCGGCATTCTGCAAATCATCCCGAGGTCTGCCACCTGCCGAGTTCCCACCGTCCGCCGACCGTCCGCCGGCCTGTGTTTCCGCCAGCTTCAACTGGCTTCCGCCGACCGTCCCTTTCCTCCGGGTTCCTGGCGTCTCGATTCGGTTCCCGACGCGTCGCTATGGAAATATGCGCGGAGCTGCGATCTCCCGTCCCCGTCGCGGCGCCCACCTCCCCTACACCGCCTTCGCAGGCGAGCTCGAGGCCACGATGGGCGAGCACGTCGACCCCTGCCGGCCCGTTGGCAGTTTCACGACGTCATTAGGCGTGTCCGTCAGCCGCGATGCGGAGGGCGGGGTGTGGCCGAACCCAGCCCGAACGAAGGCGGCACGCCCTCGAACCATTTTGCGCACGTCCCTGGCGACGTCGGTGACGAAGGGCAGGACTAGGAGGGGCGACAGCACAACGCGCGTGACCTGCCGTGTCTGAGCTGCGACGCATGGTTTGGAGCCGGGCATCCGAACTTGGCCGCCGCCTTCAAACGTCGAGCATCCGAACTTGACCGCCGCCTTCAAACGCCGTTTGGCGAAGGATGGCGTGCGCCAACTGCGTCTGCAACGCCCCAGATCACCGTTACCAACTGCGTCTGCATCGCCTGGCACGCGGCAGCCACACTGTTTCCTCCGACGCGCGGCTGAATCTAGACCGCGGATGACATGTCATGGGGCGCGCACAAGTTCGCTTCCTTGTTAAGCGGCGTGGAAACATGATGCCAAGAATACGCGCGATGGCGCATCTGGGCCCGCAAAAAAGGGTGGTGCAGGAAAACCGGCAGAGGCAGTGAAACCACAGAGCTTTATTGGAGAAGGGAGGTGGAGGAGGAGCGGTAAGCTCACAGTCACATTATTCACTTCCGCTGTCTTCACGAGGCTGCGAGTGGTCTGCATGGTCCTTTGTGCACGCGAGAGTGGAGCCCCAGCTTCTGGAAGGCGGTGTCTTTCGCTCTCTCCATTATCAAGGGCGTCTCTCCAGGGGAGGTTGGACGGGAGAGGAGGGAGAATTGGGAAGGGGTGAGGAAGATGAGGAGCGAGAGAGAGGAGTAAACCATATTAGCAGAAGGAGGAAGAGCAGGGGGGTATGTTGAGGAGGATGACTGGGAGGATGCGGAGGAGGCGGAGCCCGAGGCGGAGGAGCATCGGAGGGAAAGTCGGATTAGCAGCACGAGGTGGAGGTGGATGGAGAGGACGATGGAAGAATGAGGAGGAGGAGGAGGAGGAGGCGGAGGAGGAGCAGGAGCAGGAGGAGGAGGAGGAGGGGAAGGAGGAGGAGGAGGACCAGGAGGAGGAGGAGGAGGAGGAGGAGGAGGAGGAGCAGAGGGGCGAGGCGGAGGCGGTAGAGGTTCCGGGAAATGGAAAGAGGAACAGGATGACGAGGAGAAGGAAGGAGGCGGGAGGAGCATTGCATTTTGGAGCTGGGCGGCCAGCGCGCTGCGCTCGCAGTTGGCCGAAGGCCGAAAACGAGCGGATCCCCAGTGGCACGCGTTCTACGACCTCCGAGGTTCCTGGGTGGACGCGGGCCTGGCATGCAGCGAAGTGCTCGACTACACATAGGAGTGACCAGTCGCCGGAGTGACCCATGGTGCAGGCCCACTGGGATCTGGCGGTCGCTGAATGCGATGCGATGGAGGCGGCTTGTGCGCTTAGGTGTGGCCTCCCCGCTCCCCCCGAATGCTGCGCACCAGAAGTCATTCTTGTCTAGGCTCACTCTTGCGTGCAACCGAAATGTCCACACTAGAGATCTGTCCATCTCAACCGATTTCTGGACACGTGCCTGGGAGGACCTCGCGCAGCGTTCGCCCTCAGGGGGCGGGAAGGTGTCCACGACGGGCGTGATTTCGTTTCGCGACGTCTGGAGGCAGGACAGAGGTAGGAGGAGGAATAGTGGGAGGAGGAGGACAAAATAATAATAATAATAATAATAATAATAATAATAATAATAATAACAATAATAATGATGATGATGCTGATGCTGATGCTGATGCTGATGCTGATGCTGATGCTGATGTTGATGCTGATGCTGATGCTGATGCCGATGAGGAGGAGGAGGAGCAGGAGCAGGAGGAGGAGGAGGAGGAGGAGGGAGAGGAGGAAGTAGAAGTGGATGTGAATGAGGGGAAGGGGGAGATGATAAGCACTATCACGGTCTGGAGCAGATTGGCATCAAGGTGTTTCAGACAGCGGTGCAGAGAGTGGGTGGAGTGCGCAGCATGTGGATTGTTCGCCGTTGAAGCAGCACTTATGTAAGGCACGTCTAAGATCATGCACGGCTCGTTCAATCTATCGCACACCTAAACTGGGAGTCACCGTGAGCACAGGTGTAGAGTAGCAGGCTTTATTCTCGGGTGTGGTTGTGCACATGATGTGACAAGACAGTTAGTTCTACGCGTACTTAGACGCGCATGTTGTGGATTTTGTATTGCGTGGCACGGCGCTATCCTGCTATCCATTAGTTGCATTATTTATTCAGGGTGCCCGGTGCCGGGTGTCCGACCCCGAGCACAGTTGCGAACGACATTAGCCGCGCATTGGTCCTCGCGGCAAGCCGCAGACCATGTTGGGAGCTGAGCGGGGTGCATGGCTTTGTCGGCATGTCCATGTCTGCTCTGGGCTTCTCCAGCCTGCTTCAGGCTCAAGGCGCGGATATTCCCGCGCCAAGCGTCCATCCGATTCAGGAAACGTGCATGCTTGACGCGCCTATTACGATCCGCTACTGAACCGTGCCCGTGTTGTGGAACATGGTGGTGCTCGAGCGCACGATGTTTGTCTGCTTGTTTGCTCAGGTGCCTCCGTGATTTGAACTTCCGCTTTGTGTATACCTTGGTCCTCCGTCCATGCCACATCGGTTCTTCTTATGGCTTCTATATTGCGGTCCCTCGCAGCGGCTACTGCATCCTATCCTCATTGCTGCTGGTCCTCCTCGTCCCTACCCTGCTCGCCTTCATCATCATTACCCTCTTTCTCCTGTCTGTTCGTCTCAGCCACCAAATATCAGACCTCGGCTCCGACTACAAGCTTGTTGTTATCATGGTACCTCTGTCTGACAGGCGCCACTTGCGAACAAGAACCATTCCGAGCGAGAGTGTACAGGAATTGGCCATTACGACGTTTTCCGCGTTTAACGTCGAAGAGGGACGATACCACACATCACGACGCCAGCCGGCAATTTAGTGCACAGCATGGCATATTGTTGGAATGGCCAATTGGTTGTAGAGCGCATGCAGGATTCGATGTTGTATTCAACGACGGGTCCTAGCGATGACCCACCGCCAACGGGCACAGTGCCAACACATGAAAGCGAGGGGTGATCACCACGCCGTCTGGATAATCACCCTGAGAGCTTTGCCCCACTCATACAGCAGCGACGGCAGAGATCGAACAACGACCGTGTAACCAGGGGGCAACTCAGACGGCACATGCGGAAACATATGGGGCAATCAGGGATAGTGCGTACCATCGAGATCCCAAAAGAGCGTAACGATGTTGAATATTGGCGCAAGCGAACTTTGAACACAAGGATGGCGGACCCCGTTTGAGAGGAAACAGTCTCCCCGTCTAATCATGCCAACGCGGTTGCTGAGCTCTCTCAAGAACGCCATCCCAGATTGATTCCAGATCGCCTCACCGAAATGCTCTCACGATAGAGGAGTTGACGAAAACATGTTCGGAGATCACGTGACACATCACACTCTACAACACATGATCCAATTTTTAAATGGCAGAGAACACGTCTGATAAGTTGAAGCAAGCCTCCCTCACCTTGCGCACAAATCTATTGGTAGGGCGACGTGGTCACGGCTGATGGATGCCTAGAAGAAGAAGAAGCAGCAGCATTGCAGCCATGCAGGAGCCCGACCATGAGGCTTTGCGTTTAACCGAATTCTGATTTACAAGGTCCTCCGATCATCCCCTGACGTGGGAGTAGAACCAACCAGTTTGGATTAGCAGTCCTGGGTTTACGCGTTTTCCGAGCTTGTCGGGCCCGACAGCATGTGGGCGACATGGATGACTCAGAGGAGCTTGTTTCAAATGTTGTGCACGTTGTGACAGGATTGTGCCACGGCCCGGCTAGAAATGTACGAACCATTGATGCAGTTTTCATCGTGGCACCGACAGGGCGACCCTTGAGTTTCTGGTCTTCTGACGCGCTATTGGAACACATCATGAAGTAATTGTTTGGGACATTGCGAGACATGCGTTAAGGACTGCAGCTAGACCGCGGATCCACCACGCACGTTTCGAACCAGCGCTCGGCCGACGACGCGCTCAGGATAACGCAAGAGCTACCTCGGCTCGTGATAAAATGCCAGGGGGCATTCGGGCCGCCGCGAAGCACTGAGACTTAGCTCTTAGATTGTACCCATCGAAGCACAGCACCCCCACCTGCTTGACCAGACGAGCTGGTCGAAGCAAGCATTCTGGCTAGACACTCCCGCGTGGCGGTTGGAGGCATGGGCTTTGATATCCCCTTTGCAGCGACGCTAACCACGACTTCCGAGCCGCTTGGGCGAGTGCCACAGCACCGGCCAGAGACCGCTCCCGCGAAGCTCCCCCTGGCCCATCCCCACGCCGTCCTCCCGCCGAGACGAGTGCTTTTCTTTGCCCGTGACGTGTGGAACACCGCCCTCCTCCTCCTCCTCCTCCTCACGAACCGTAGCCATTTTGGCTCAAGACCGAGCACAGACGTCGGGCGCCAACGTCCGGGGCGAGCACACGCCCGGCGAGAGCAGTTAGGTTCACCGCGCCGGCCACAGAATGGGGTGCGGCGCATCAGCCCAAGAGAAGCCGAACCAGAAGAAACCCGATGAGGTGGCCACTCCACCTCCGACGCCGGCGGCCGCGGAGAAGAGCGAGGCGGCCACTTCGACGCCGGCGGCCGCGGAGAAGAGCGAGGAGAAGAACGTCGTCGAAGCGGTGGGAGGCTCCGAGCCGGCGGCTGAGGAACCGAAGCCCGCTGAGGCGGCCCCTGCGGAGCCCGCTGTGACGCCCGTGGAGCAGGAGGTGGTGAAGTGCAGCATGCGAGGCAGGCGCAAGCCACCGCAGCAGAAGGCCGGGCGGCGGCCCCAGGCTAAGCGTATGGTCAATTTCGGCGACCACGACGCTGGAAAGTGGGTGTTAACCAGCACTGAGTACGACGGCTCCTACGGCATTATCGGTGGGACACCCGTCGTTCAAGAGAAGACGGGCCCGATCCAGGAGGGTCTGGACCTGCTCAAGCAGGAGCCTCACAAGTACCTCTCGCTGTGGTACCAGACTGACATGATGTCGTGGCCCACGGAGCAGCAGCAGTATTCGCTGTGCGAGCGGAGGAAGCAAAGGATTGTCGTTAAGGAAACGAAAGGAGGGCCGTTCACTTACGTCGAGAGCAAGTACCACGCCCTGCCTGATTGCGAGGTGCAGCCCGACCAATTTACGGACAGCATGGCGTACGCGGGCGCTCCGTGCACACAGGGCAAGCAACCCGGCCGAGGGCAAGGCTGCGCAGATGTGCCGGGCTTGAGCGTCATCAAGGACGTGGACCCAAACGACGTGTTGCAGGGCAGCGTAGGCGATTGTTGGCTGCTCTCCGCCATGTCTGCCTTGGCCGAGTTTTCGGGTGCAGTCAAGAAGGTGTTCAACAAAACTCCGGGAATCGAGTCCTTACCAGGCCCCGGTGAGAACAAGTACGTGGTAACGTTGTATGACCTGAAGACCTGGAAGCCGGTCGACATCGAGATCGACGAGCGGCTCCCTGGGAACCCCAACGGCAGCGGCCTGCTGGGCTGCAGCCCGAGCGCGTCTGGGGACCTGTGGGCACCGTACATCGAGAAGGCGTGCGCCATTCACTGCGGAGGGTGGGACAAGATCAACGGCGGCCAGTGCACGCACGCTTGGCGCATGCTCACGGGCTGCAAGGAGCAATACACCTTCATGCCTGACGCCAGCGGAATGTACGGCTGCTTCGGGGCCATGAACCCCAACACGAACGAGTGGGAGGAGCTCGCCAATTCGCCCCACGACGGGTTCCGCGGCCTGTGGCCCAACCCGTGGCCTGCAGTGGGCGGCGGCGGTGGCTTGCAGCACAAGGTCGACCGAGACGAGATGTTCGAGCGCATGTGCGCGTTCGACGACGAGAACTTCATCATGGGCGCGGGCACCAAGTCCGGCTCGGACACGCAGGACACCGACGGCATCGTGGACGGCCACGCTTACACGATCATCGACTGCGTCAACAACGCGGGGGGCACGGAGTTCGATCTGATCAAGGTGCGCAATCCGTGGGGCTCCGGCGAGTTCAAGTCCGGCATGTGGGACGACGATGGCCCTGGCTGGACGCAGTACCCGCAAGTCAAGGAGGCCCTGAATCCTGTGGCGGCCGACGACGGTGTGTTCTGGGTTGACAAGGAGGAGTTCTTCAAATACTTCAAGACCATCTACGTGTGCGCGAAGAACATGACCGAATTCATCGAAGCTCCTCAGTAAGACGTGTCGTAGGTTGGCCGTTTTCGCGATGTACATTCGGTGGATTCAAATTTTCTTGGAGGTAGTATACAATGCTGGCCGTGCCGTTTCGCACGGGTGCTAGAGAATAGGCGAGGAGAGTTGCGAAGCGGTGTTTTCCGGCGCTTCGTTTCTTTATTTATTCGCCAGTCTCGTACGCTGGCAGCGGCCAGGCCGCCCTTGCAGCGAGAAATACCCGCTGCATCTGTGGGCGGCTTGTCCCAAGAAAGGTTCAATTGGTTTTATTTCCTTCGGCACGACTTAGGGTTCCGGACAAGCGCAGCGGCGTCATTGCCGTCACGTGTTGCTGTCTTTGCTATTTGTCTACTGTTTGTGGATGCCATGCCACGATCCGGGAAGCAATTCCTTGCACGCCGCTGCGCTCGGCTGCCAGGCTGGAGATGTTCAAGCACAGCCAGCAGCGCACGCGTCACTGTCGCGCCCGCGCCATGGTCCGCATAATCGTGTGGACGAGTGGGGCTCCTCCTCCTCACGAACACCGTCATCACTGTGTCCTCGGCGTCCCCCCAACATACTTATACTATGTGTTCGTCGCCCCCCCAGAGGCGACGCGCGAACCGAGAAATCTTATAGTATATGCGTCGTGGCGGGCGCTTTCTGGCCACACCGCTCGAGAAACGATATACTACAAGATGGGTATACTATATGTTCGGGTCGGACGCGCGCCTCCAAGGCGGACACATAGTATTAGTATGTCTCTGTGCATCCCATGTCCAGCTCTCCCCTGCCCGCCCCCGGCTGGCAGGCGCTCGGCATCTCCGTGCAGAGAGAGGCCGAGACCCAGGGCGCGACGGCCCAGCACCTGCAGAGCCCGGGCGCGGTGCTCCAGCGCCTGCAGGGCGCCAAGGCCAGCCAGGCCTGCGCGGTCGAGGCGCGCCGGAGGGCGTCGCCGTCCTGGCAGGGAGAGGGTGGGGGAGGCCTCCACCCTCCGCCCTCCTCTCTCTTCCTCCTTTCCCCGCTCCCTGGGCCCTATTCCTCCTCCCTCCTCCTCCCTGCTTCCCTCCCGCTCCCCCCTCCTCAGCCCCTCACCCGTCCTCCCTCCGACACCACGGCAAGGTACAGCCATGGTAGGTTGATGCAGGGCTGGATCCCAGTATCAATCAGCCCATGACGCCAACGCGGTTCAATGACGCATTGGGTGGCCCGAAAGATGTGTCTCTCTCTCTCTCTCTCCTGCATTTGCCGCCCATGTTGCCAGCCCCTGATGCTTTGCTCCTGCGCGCCACACTCCAGTATGTGGTGAAGTTGCCCCCCGAGAACGGGACACGTTTAGCGTTGCCTTCATGCAGGCAGGGTTGGTTGAAGCATCCGCGGTGCAACCTGAACGGTGGCCGCACCTAGGCGGCCAGACTGTGGCACTTGAAGGTCACGTGTTAGTCTCGAAACTCGGCCTTGGAATGCTGGCTTGGAATCCACCGGTCAACCTCAACCAGCCAAACCCTCTTTCGGTGGCATTGCCTTTCGCGCTCTGTGGTGCCATGTGCGCCCTCATTGCTGGATTGGGCCACCACATCAAAGGCAGGGCTCTGTCCTAGTCCAAGTCTGCGAGGGAGGAGGGACAAGGCGGAGTGTCGGATAATCCCCCACCGGCCTGAGTCTTCCTCTCCTTCCTCCCTCCTCTTTCTCCTCCCTCCTCATTGTCTCCCCTCCCTCCTCATCCATATTCCTCCTTGTCCTCCTTCTCCTCCCGCTCCTCCTCCTCGTCTTCCTTCTCTCCCTCCTCCTCCTGCTCTTCCTCCTCCTCCTGCACGTCCCGTCCCCTCATCACCCTCAGTGTCGTCGTCCTCCTCCTCCTCGCCTCCCTCCTCCCCTCCCTCGTGTCTTACGCTCGTCATCCCCCTCCATCCCACTTCGCAGGCGCGGAGAGAGGAGGGGACGAGGGAGGACGGAGGATAAATGAGAGAGGACGGGATGATGGGGGAGGGCACGAAGGAGGAGGGGGCAAGCGGGTAGGAAGAGGGAGGAGGAAAGAAGGAAGATGAAAGAGGGAGGATGGAAGAGGGAGGATGGAAGAGGGAGGAAAAAGTGAGGTGAGGGCAGTGGGGAGGAGGGAGGAGAGAGCGAGCAGCGTGAGGCTAAGAGGGAAGTGGTGGCGTGGGAGGAGGGTGTGAGTGGATGTGTAAAAACAAAGGAGACCAGTACCCCCCCCTCCCCTCGGCCTCAATCCTCCTACCTCGCTGCTCTCTCCTCATTCTTGTCCGTCCGCGCTTCTCTTGCTCGATCCACTTATGAGTAATTCCTCCCTGACGTACCCCAAGCCGCGTCGGTAGTGAGGGCCCGGCATTTCGCCTAAGACCTCCTCACCATGCACGATCCTGAAGCTTGACGTTTGCAACCGTTTCAAGGATAGAGGGCGGGCAGTTAAAAAATGTGGCTCTCGCCTTAGTCCCGCGAGCACTCGTATGACAAAGTGTGCAGCAGCTTTACGAATGGAAAGCGGGTTGTTTTCAAAATGTGGTTCTCGCTTTAGCGCCGCGCGCATTTGTTTCAAACTATCGCAGCATTTCGAGGATGGAGGGCGGGTCGTGTTCGCACTGTGGCTCTCGTTTTAGCGCCGTACACGCTCGTCTCCAAACTTAATTCGTCTTCAGAATTAACATCAGCTTCAAGGATGGAGGGTGGCTCCTTTTCAACATGTGGCTCTCGCGTTGGCGAGGCGCTCAATCGTCTTACAATGTGCAGCAGTGTAAGGATTCGTGCGGTTGAGGTCCCAGGAGTGGTGTTCTGGCACGATTTTGGATTGCCCGGACGCAACAGTCACGTTGGTTTTCGGTGTTGACGTCCCAGGAATGGTGTTGTGGCACGAATTAGGATTGCCTGGACGCGACAGGCACGTTTTGGCACGATTGGGGATTCTCAGACGATTGTCTTCCGATGGGGCACGTCCCGCAATGAAGGACAATTCTTGTAGGGATCTGTGAAGAGGGAACTTGGACACTTATTTATTGCAACATCATTAATGCGTCTTGGGTTGATAATGGTCCCGCGTCCTCCTCCTCCTCCTCCTCCTCCTCCTCCTCCTCTTCCTCTCTTCTCCCTCCGCACCTTCCCCCTGCTTACCTCGCCTCCCCTAATCCTCGCCTCGCTCCCCACCTGTTCACCTCATTCCTCCACCCTCCGTCGCCTTGCATGACCTGTAAAGCCCCTGTTTGCAATGCGTCCTTGCTCTTACATGCGTTGCATCTTTCTTGCCAAGCGTGCTGCACGTGGCCGATTGTTTGCATCTCTTTGAGAACGTGGCCCTCCCTGCCAAAAGACTGTGCGTTGACCCATTGATCAAAAGGGAGCCTTGCCAACGCCGATCGACAGGAGCGCAGTCAGTTGAGACATCGGGCCCTTCTACCTCTGTTCGCCGGACGAAGCTTCGTACACTTCAGATGGCGGCGCGCGCAATCAAGGCACATGGCATCCCAAGAGGACCAGCTTTATGAGCGTTCGTTTATCAGTACCACCTATGAGTTCGCGACGCGCTGAGTCATGCACATGGAGCTGCTGAGTACACATGATTGCTGACTGGCTTGTTTGAGTGCTTGCAGCATGCGTTCGAGTTCCCAGCTCCCTAGCCTATGTTGTACATTCGCTCGGAGTTGCTGCAAGGCAGGCCTAGGGTGTTTGGAGTTCTCGCTCAGGGCACTTGTTACGAGCCAGCGTTGGGAATTTTGACGGCCCTCCAGGCCCAACGTGATTCTTTGATGTCGAAGTCCAGCAAATCGCTCGCCAACGCCAGGACAGCACCACCCAGGGCGGCTTCGCCTCGCCGGTCAACGGCCTGAGCACGCAGCTCAGGCTCCGATGGGGGAGGAGGAGGTCAACATGCGCCGCGGCCCAGCAACGGAGGAGCAAGAAGGCATGATGATAGTACCTATCTGCATTCAGATTTTCAGGGTTCCGGGCTCCGCGCAGACTCCCGACACGAGCGCAACCAGATATTCTGGAACTCTTGGAACGCATCCTGAGCCAATCGCACAATGATACGACGTGAGGGGGTCGTCACTGAAAAAGGGTGTTTGGCAACGCCCGAGACAGGGTCCAGGGGTAAGGAAGTCTCAAGGTTTCTGCCCCACCACAGAAGTTTTGCGTCCTCTCAGTGCCCCCCTCTCTTGCGAGGCGGCTCTAGCATCAGCATCGTCTAGTCGTAATAGCGGGATTTCGGATTTCAGATCGGCCTGGGTCCGATAGGATCGATTGCCAGGCGAGCTGCCCGAATCAGGGAATTGTCGAAGCCCCCCAGCCCCCCTTTTTCGAACAATGGGGATCAAGGCTCCACAACCAGCAAAAAGAGGAGCCCCCTGTTTGCAAGATCCCTGTAGGGTCTTTGCAGGAGGGGGGGGGGCCCTGCAAAGGCCCCGCAAAGACCCCTCAACGAGCCTGCAAAGTGGACATATTGGAGGCCTCTTGGGCCGATCTTGGGCCCCATGGCTCAAACGGGAGGGGGGTCCTCGATTTAGGTCCCCCCTCGGAGGCTCAAAAAGGAGCGTCTTGGGGCCCTCTTGGGGCGCTCTTGGAGCGCTCTTAGGCGCTCTTGGGGCCCTCTTGGGCCCCTCTTGGGGCTCGGAATCGAAAGAGAAGGCAAACACATTGATTACCCCAAGGTGTTTATTGATTACCCCAAGGTGTTTGAAGGATTTCTGGCCTCTTGGGGGGGGGGTCCGTGGAAGGCTCGGAGGGCCCGTGGAACCGTTTTGAAGCTGTCTTGGAACCTCTTGGAGGTATGTCGGAGGCTATCTTGAGCCATTTTGAGTTATCTTCGGAGGCTATCTTGAGCCATTTTGAGTTATCTTGAGCCATCGTGGAGGCCATCTCGGGGTCTATGAGGCCCTCTTGGAGCCATCTTGGGCCATCTTGGGCGCTCTACTGTCCGCGCCCCCCACCCCCCCTCAGGCCCAGGGAAAGGGGTAGGAGGAGGGGTAAACCCCTTCCCCCGAGCAGGGAAAGGAGGCAGCTTTGGCAAAGAGAAGAGCAAATTCGTTAAACCACGTACGCCAGAAGGGCTGGTGGGATTCCCGCAACGTATCCTGAGCCAACCGCACAATGACATCGTTCTCTGAATATATCCGTCTCCTAGCAAGCCGATTTCTTATGCTCACCCTGGAGGCCTCACCCTGGAGGCGTGTGCGTCGTCACGGAAGGGGGTCGTCACTGAAAAGGGCGTTTTGGCAACGCCCGAGAAGGGGTCCAGGGGCAAGGGGGTCTCGAGGTTCGCGGCTTCATCACGTTGCCATCGGAGGAGTTTTGCGTCCCCTCAGTGCCCCCTTGTCTTGCGAGGCGGCTGGAGCAGAAGCTTCGACATCAGCACGGAGCGTTAAGAGCGGGATTTCGGATTTCAGATCGGCCTGGGTCCGAGGACTCCGGTCGCGTAAGCGACGGACAGACAGCGGAGATGGGCCCACGAGCGAGCGAGGGGCCGAGGAGGGCCAAACGATCGGGCCCTGGCACACACGTCGTGCCGGGCCGAGGCGTGGGGTGGGGAGCTT